CGATGAATCGGATGATCAGGGTGGGGCGGCTGAGTATGATGATGACGAAGAACTAGAAGAAGAAGAAGGAGAAGAAGAGGAAGAGATTGGTGAAGAAGAAGAGTTTGAGGAGGAAGTTGTGGAAGAAGAGGAGTTGGAAAGATATCAGGAGAGAGGCCGGGAAGGCGAGCTGGGTGGCAGGGTTGAGGTTTTGGCTGTTAAGGAATCGAGTGGTGATGGTCGGAGGTCTGTGGAAGGGTCCGTGGATGAGAATGGGGGGAATGAGGCTGAAGAAGGGGAGGAGAAGAAGGAGAATGAACCATTTGCAGTCCCCACAGCGGGTGCTTTTTATATGCATGATGACCGCTTCAGGGAAAACTCTGGTGGTCGGCACAGGTAATTGTTTTATGATTTTTATTGCATTTGCGGTCATATGAATGTGGGTGTGGTTTGGCGAGTTGTGCTGTTGTAATATAGAAGTAAACTTGTGCAGCTGTGATAGTAGCTCCTTTATGGATCATTGTTTTCCTTCGGCATCACCCCCCCCCCCCCCCTCCCTTCTCCTCTCTTTTCATGGTTATGGTGTATAGCGCTGTAATAATTTGAAGCATTCTGCTTTCAGTAGGCGAACACGTGGTGGAAGGAAGCTGTGGGAATCCAAAGATGAAAGAAAATGGGGGCACGATAAGTTTGAGGAGATTACTTTGCAGGAAAGGCGCTACGAAGAAGTAATAGTTGTATACATGGTCATACTGCAGAATATTTTGTTCTATAGATCTTTTTTCATCTCTCATCTTTCTGATGTGCACTACTTACTAATTCAGGGAAAGAAACCTTCAAAGGGTCCTTATGTAGGTCGCGGAAGAAACCGAGGTATTGATCGTGGGAGTGCCAGAGGAAACAGGTCTAAAGAATATGACAGGTCTAAAGAATATGACAATAATAATCAGAGACAGGTACCCAAGGGTGTTAGAGGGAGAGGGCCCAGGAGGTATGAACCGGCTTTTAGGAATAACAGACAGGCACCGCCAACACAAAACAAACAGTGAGTACAACGTATTCTTATGGTACTAATATTTCTTTGTTAATTCATGATTTTTTTATAATTAGCTGTCACATTGATTTTATTTTCAGGTCTGGAAAGCCTGCCGAGAAAAACGTACAAAGTAATTTAGAGAGAACATATACTCCCAACTCAAATGCAGAGTCTGGCCAGGTTTCTGCTAGGAAAAATTCCTTCGCCTCAAGCTTGAATTCAGCTTCTCCTCCTTTTTACCCATCAGGCTCTTCCAGTTCCAATAAAGATATCACTCTTACTCCTAAGCGGGATGCACAGGTTGGGAGTGGTAAGAGGAACCTTCGGTCTTCTGTAGTGCAGGAGAGTTTCAATGTGCCCCAAACCAATGCATTGGAGAGAGGAAAGAACATAGCTGAATCTGTCGGTATGAACAAGCTTTATATAAATGACTCTACCAATCCAGCTGCTGGGAAGACTTTGACCAACATAAAAATGTCACCTTCTGGGTCATCATTTGTCAATACTACTCAAGCTCCTCAGTCAAGGGTTCAAGGAAGGGGTGTTATCTCAGGACAAATGAGTTATCAACCGGTGTCTCAGAACCAAATGACAAGAGCTTCTCCATCCACACATCTTCATGCTGGTCAGCGCAATCCTGCTCAAAATCGATCTCAACTGGCTCTGCAAGGTCCTGCTCAGCAGATGGGACAACATCCTGGGAGTGGATCTCAGGCTTCCTCTCCACCCAACACAACCATGTCATCAAATTCCTTCGAATCAGGAGAAGTTGAATCACCTTCAGATTCAAGCAAATCTAAAGGTGCCCTGGTTGCAAAGGGAAAAGGCAGTGTTCAGGGTAGTGCAAGGGGCACTATTTCTTATGGCGGAGCTCCAGTTACGGGACCCACTGGGAGTATGGGTGTTAATCATGATCAGAACTTCCCTGGTGCTCCAGCCTTTTTGCCTGGTAAGTATATTGGATTACCTTTTTAGTACTCCAGAATTATAGAGTTCCCCTTAATTATAGAAGGGAAATTGGGCTTAGTAGCCCTTTTACAAACCCACCAACTAAAAATAACCCTGCTCTCAAAGTGCAATTTCTACTAGCCCTCTTTGACGAAAATACCTTCAAGTTAATATGTTATCGGAACTATTAATACATTATCGACACAGTACTGATAGATTATCGACACAATATGAATACATTATTGGCACAATATTAATACATTATTGACACCATAATTTTTAGTAAGAGGCTTTTCACTTGAGGGTATTTTCGTCAAAGAGGGCTAGTAGATATTGCATTTTGAGAGCATGGCTAATTTTGTTGGTGTATTTGCAAAGGGCTAGTAAGCCCCAATTTCCCTTTATGTGGATGCAAAGTAAAACATAATCTAGGTTAATCATCTGTTTTTGCCCCGAACTGTAAACGTAACAAAACATATTCACTGCTTCTCTGAACTGTCTAGGATTTCACCTCAATGGTGTTCTTTGAACTGCTTATCGATAATGATTGACAGTAGCTAAAATGAGCAGATTAAATTATTAGTGCATATTAAGTTGTGTCTTTTTCTAACATTTAAGCATTCAATAGATTATGATTTGTGGTCTTATCTGGTTGGATGATTGTGCAGTCATGCAATTTGGGGGCCAGCATACTGGGGGTATGGGAGTTCCTGCTGTTGGCATGGCGTTCCCTGGATATGTTGCTCAGCCACAACTTGGTGGTTTAGGAAATTCTGGCGAAATGACATGGTACGTGAATTGCATTAATGATAGTTCTTTCTGTTGGTCTTGTCTTCTTCTTGTTCTTCTTCTTTACGGGAAGTTGATATCTTATTTAGTTCATTTAGAGGTCGCACTTGGTGCGATGGCAAGTGCCTTCGCCCATGAGCGGTAGGTCTCGGGTTCGAGACTTGGGAGCAGCCTCTCCATAAATGGGGGTAAGGCTAGCCGACATTCACCTCTCCCAGACCCTGCGTAAAGCGGGAGCCTTGTGCACTGGGTACGACCTTTAGTGGTTGACTACTCTGCATTATGAATTATTGTCTACTATAAAGAGAATTATGCAAAGGGGTGTGTATTTAATTGAGATTTTGAAAGATTTTAAGAGAGTTGTAAATTTGTTAAGTTTGATGGAGTTCTAATGGAGTTTCATATATCCATGTGAATTCATTCAAAATTTTTGGGGGAGAGGCAAGATTTCTTAAAGCCTTTTACACTATAAAATCTGTTTAAATCCATCAAAATCCTTTTAACTTTTCAAAGTACTTTAAAATCAAATCCTAATTGAATACACATGGATTTTTATACTACCTAAAAACCCTGATTCAATACATCTAGATTTCTATGGAGTTTTATGAACTCCTTTAAAATCTTGGTTGAATACCCATGGACCTCCATGGAATATCCCTGAATTTGTAACCTCACACTCTTTTAAACTCCTAATTGATTACTAATACTAAATATATTTTCTCTATATATCATTTCTGTGAGGAGGTAGGAACTGCTTCGGTGTCATATCTGTCTTGGAAAAATATCTTCAAATATTGCTATGAGAATGGAGTTCAATCTAATGGTGTGATTCCTTTAGTTTGAGAAAGATCTCTGGTGATAATTGTTTGAATTGTTTTAGGTTACCTGTATTGGCGGGTGCTGCAGGAGCATTGGGGGCAACATATTGTCCTCCATATATTACTGTTGATGGTTCTTACCATGGTCGCCCATCTGGACAAACATCTTCTGTGGGTTCCCTGAGGTTGGTTGTATGGCGTCTCTTTGATTATTTATGATTCTGAGATAATGTTCTCTCGTTTACCATAACCTGCTTAGCTTTTTAGATTTGTCTCTTGCTATTATACTATGTGGTTCCTTTTTCGCTTTATTTATTTATTTATCTATCTTTCTTGATTAAACTTCCCTTGTTCAAGTCGAAATAACTGTTTAACGGGTCTTTCTACTGCCACATGGTTAGGAGATCCTATTTTTCAATTATGTTTTTAATAAACATCTATGTCTACCATTCTGAATAATCTTCGTTTATTTGCAGCAAAGAGAATAATGCAAATAAAACCAATAACGAATGGAAGCCTTCACAAAAGCCTGGTATGACATTATATTACACTTAGCTCTGCTTCCCACCTTTTTTTTTTTTAACTCTTGGCCATTGAGTTGGGCATTTAATAATTTATGAATTGTTATGGTTTGGCATTGACATAGTTTTTCCATTACAGAGATTGTTGGAGATGAGTATGGGCAGCGACAAAACAAGCCTCGTAGGCAAGTCATACCTCATGTTTTCAAGAACTAATTATTTGTTTGCCAAACTTGCTCCGCTGATCCCAGGGTTGGGTTAAATTGGAGAGGGTGCATTTTATACATAGACTTTTCATGCAATCTGAATGCTTTTTTCTTTTCAAGTGCAGATATTCACAGATGAATGTGGCCAGTGAAGTACTTCAAAATAATACGGAGCTTGTTTGAATAAGCAGATGAAGGTTCTGTCTTTCCCCGAATTTAACTTTTCTGCTATATTGGGAGTGTGAAGTTCTAAGTTTTGTTCATTTGGTGCTGCAGGCGTTCGTCTGAGCCCTTTGTGATCTTCAGCCTATGTTCTGGGGCACTTTGGGCCAATGTTTTCGAAGATATCTTAGGTATGTCATCCTTGGTCTTTCGTCAATTTGGTTTTACATGTATTTAATGCTTGACACCCCAAAGTGATAATTCTATTTGGATAGGATAGCACGCCAAGTTTCTTTCCATGAGTAATGACATTCTATTTTTTTATGAACCAACAAAATGTTCAATTAAATATTTTGGAAAGGCCTGTGTTTCATTTATTTGTATTGTCGAAGAATTGGGCACTACAACCACCATCTGTACGTAGGCCATCGGAAGATTGACACACTGTTTGTTTTATCCTTGTATCGCCAAATTTATTTTACGGCATTGTAATAATATTTAGTTGTATGCTTATATCTCTTTCTTGTCTGTTTCCCTCTTCTTCCTGTCTGTTCCTGCAGTTACCTATGACAAACACCTGCTCATGCTGCACTCAATCTAAGATCAATATTGCGGCGTGATTGTTTACAATTTCGGTAGGAAACGTTTCAAGTGAAAAAAAAAAAAAAAAAAACTTAAATATCTTTGTTCTTGTGAATCGTGGTCGACTGCTGTGTAATACATTTGCTTTTTCTGTCTTCAGGTTTTCTTGTGGTTTGGATTTTTATCGAAAAGCTTGTTTGAAAATGTAGACGGGCTTCCACGTGAACTGATATATAAAAGAAAATGGAAAAAAAGTACAAAGAATTGTTGTGCGGCAGCAGCAGTTCGCTCGGCGATGGTTTCTATAAGTTCTTTCACTTTACATATAGATGCATTGGATTTTTTTGTTACCTATGTTGTTAAAAACCTTTGTGGTAGTATTTTCCTTGTTTAGTTGAGGAGGTATGAAGCTCTGCTTGAACCATCGATGATACTGTAATGACTTGTTTGCTATGAATATGTGATATGTGAATTAATTATGTTTAATTGGAAGAGTAATCTGTGTGTTTGTTTATATATTTTTTTTTTTGAACCGGCCCGGTCTAAGTTTGGCAACCGTCGTGGCGGCCTTTAATCCGCCTCCGGGTCTGAGGCTAGCTACCAAGGCCAGCTTTCCGTCGTCCTCCGGATCAAAGGCCGTCGAACATTTTAAAGGATATTCTTTGCAGCATAACTGAAATGCTTATGGGTACTGAAACCTGAGTTGTTAGAAATGGGCAACGTCAGCATGACAGAAGTTTTGACGATTAAATCGGACACGGATGTATCCCTAAATGAGTATTCATGGTGTAAATAGGAGTTAAACAAAAAATGTTATCGACAAAATGCCACCTTTACTATGCAAACGAAGATTTTGTTAAGAACAGTCGTCTGCAGCTGGTAAAACTGTCGCCCATTTGACTGTTCAAATACAAATAAGCAGTCGTTTACAAATAAACGTGAACGACTGTTCCTAACATCTTACAAATAACGCAATCAAGCTTGAATATGCAATTATCCAAAATAAAAGACACCTGCCGCCACTTGCGGAATACTCGCTAGTTCTTGCAGGACTTGGATTGTCTACCCTTCCATTTCGGTGCCCTTCTCGTGTCCTCCTGTTTGTGTGGTCACGGTTAAGCCACGTCAACATTTTATATTACTATTTCTTTTTGTTTTATTATTTTTATAAAAAAACAATATAAAATGTTGACGTGGCTTAACCGTGACCACATAAAACAGGAGTGCACGGGAGGGCACCGAAATGTAAGGGCAGACAATCCAAGTCCGTTCTTGCAAGGGGATTTGTGGGGCCAGGATAATCAGAAGCATGATACAGATGGAGGACCATGATTGGCTGTGAGACCCCACCGACGCTGCAGTGGGACCCCGAGCTTACAATTTTATTCAGCGTAGGTCAGCTGCAAAAAGACCCCCAGGCCAGACGCAGCAACAGCCAGAAAGGGGCAAAAGTTTTAAAGTAGTCCGTGCTGCTTCCGAATCCGTTTACACCGCACGCGCGATCAGACACATAACAACAATCTCTCTCCGGCTCTAAAACCTCTCTCGGCCATCTTCACACTCACTCACTCACTCTGCAACTTGTGCTTCTCTCTCTCAAGACGAACCGTCGAGATCTTGGAGGCGCAGAGCATGCAGCAAATCCATGTAATTTCTCTCTCCTCTGAAAGCTCCTTTTTGCTTACCCAATCTTTGAAATCTTTCTTTTATATGTATGCGTGTATATATGTATGAATTTTCATATTTTCGTTGGGCGGTTTGATAGGGAATGAGCTCCGAATTAATTGCATGATTTCTTGGTAAGTAGTAATCAGTGAATCTTTTATGGTCTGTTTGGCTGCCGAGAAAATGGAGCGAAAGAAAATGAATCAAGTCTCTCGAGTTAGTGAGAATTAGGATCGGAGAAAAATTTTAGATTCAGCTCTGACCTTATAGTTGATCTTCATCGATAACTTCGAAGACCGAGAAATTAATGAAAATTTTTGGATCTTGATTTTTTGTTTTGTTAATTTTTAGTACAGAAAAATAAGCATTACTTGAATTAGTTATAATTATTTTTCCTGTATGTTCTTGTTGGTTGATTGTGATTACAAATTACAGGGATACTATTTTTAGACATGGATATGGATGTTTAATTAACATAGAATCTGCGTGTTTATTTTTTTGGGTTTCTGGTGAAATGCTGAATGCAGTTACTCCGTTTGATTGCTGAGAGTGCCAAGTAACGCTAAACGGATTAAAAATTTCATTCTGTGAGCTATATAAGACTTTAAAGAAAATTACAAGAGCCGAGAGAGAATTTTGTGCTCTGGGCCAATTTGTTTTAATCTGCTCATTTGCTCATTCTTGTGTATAGAGAAAATCATTTTTCTTTACTCTTGATTGCTGCAGAGACCGAATTAAAAAGGAACTGATGTTCTTCGAAGAATGTGTTTTTGAGCTTTTTTCTGTTGTAAAATAGTTTAAAAGAGAAAGATGGAGGAAAGCACTAGAGTGGATTATAAGTCGTCGAGAGAAAGTGGAAGTTTTAAGTCTACATTGTCAGGAAGATCCAGCCCTCGAAATTCTCCTTCATTTCGGAGATTGAATTCTAGCCGTACTTCGCAAAAAGAAGGTAGAAGTAGTGGAGGTGTGCAGTGGTTTCGGAGCAATCGGGTACTGTTTTGGTTGTTATTGATTACTCTTTGGGCTTATCTTGGAGTTTATTTTCAGTCCAGTTGGGCTCATAGCAATAACAAGGATAACTTCTTGGGGTTTGGAAATAAAGCAAGGAATGGGAAGTCAGACAATGAACAGAATCTGCGGAGAGATTTGCTTGGCAGCAACAGTTCTGTGGAAGTTAAGAATGGAACCACAGAAAATCAGGTGGAAGATGGTAAAAGGATAGATGTGGTTTTAACAAAAAAGGATAATGGAGTTTCATCTCATCAAAGCGCAAGTCCAAAAAAGAAGAGTAAAAAAGGAGTTCGTAGTCTTCGTGGTAAAGGGAAAGGTAATCAGAAGAAGGCAGTGCAGGTTGATGACCATGAGACAGAGGAGCAGGAAATGGACCTTCCCAAGACAAATACTACTTATGGGATGCTTGTTGGTCCATTTGGTGTTCTAGAGGATCAAATTTTAGAATGGAGTCCTAAAATGCGGTCTGGAACCTGTGACAGGAAGGGGGACTTTGCACGTCTTGTTTGGTCTAGGAGATTTATATTAATATTCCATGAACTTTCAATGACTGGGGCTCCACTTTCTATGATGGAATTAGCAACAGAACTTTTGAGCTGTGGAGCCACAGTTTCTGCTGTAGTTCTTAGCAAGAAGGGTGGCTTGATGCCAGAGCTAGCTAGGAGAAGAATCAAGGTGCTTGATGATAAAGGAAAACAAAGCTTCAAAACTGCTATGAAGGCAGATCTCGTCATCGCCGGGTCAGCAGTATGTGCATCATGGATTGGTGAGAACCATTTTAAGAAATTCCAAGTTAATACATTTGCTGATCTCACAAATTTTGAAGTGTATAACATTAACTATCAATACCTCCGTATTGTTTTCAGTGACCTGATGTTGTATTTACCTCTATAGATTTTGTATCTCTAACGTTGAATGTTGTGCTTGTTTAGTTACGGATTTCAGTGCCTTTTTAGCATCTTGAAGTACAGGTTATACATGTAAAAACAGTATGCTTTCCCATAGAGATTAGTCAGTTTCTTGTAGAATTTTTTGATAGGATTATAAATTGGTCCGATGCCTCCAATCTCCCAGAGTGATTTCCATGTAAATAGTTACAGCACTGTATGGATGGAACAACATATATTGCCTAAATAATTTATTCTGTGTTGGAATTATGTGGTTTTCTATTCACCAACTGCTGACCTCCGATACTTCATCCACTTTCATGCTAATTGATGCAGGAAATATGCATGTTTTCTTTAATTAAGACGGTTTTATTTTTCCGTTCTAGGAGAACAATGACACTGACTAAGTTATTAACCTGATGAAATAGCCATATTATCCTCTGGTTTTTCTTGACCTTATAAGGATGTGTTCATGCACCAGTTATATATACATTTGGAAATCAGTATTCCCTCAGTAATTTGTAAATACATAAATTCCATCTTTTTAACACCTTATTAGTTTATTTTGCATTGATGTGTTTTTGTATTAAGGTTTTCTTAGACTAAGTGACATTTGTATGTGATATTTTGGAATTCTTAAATTTGTAGCTGATTTGATTTGGCTTCGTTTGGTTGTTTCAGATCAATACCTGGATCATTTTCCAGCTGGTGCAAGTCAAATTGCTTGGTGGATCATGGAAAATCGGAGGGAATACTTTGATCGCGCGAAGGTTGTGCTTAACCAAGTGAAAATGCTGGTTTTTCTATCAGAATCACAGTCTAAACAATGGCAAGACTGGTGTGAAGAAGAAAAGATTAAGCTGAGGTCTCCGCCTGTTGTTGTACCACTCTCTATTAATGATGAACTGGCCTTTGTAGCTGGCATAGCTTGTTCACTTAATACTCCATCCGCTAGTACTGAGAAGATGCTCGAGAAGAGACAGTTATTGCGAGATTCAGTCAGAAAGGAAATGGGGTTAACAGATAATGATATGCTTGTGATGTCTCTGAGCAGTATAAACCCTGGGAAGGGGCAGCTCTTGCTTCTTGACTCAGCACGCTTGGTGATCGAAGAAAAACCTGCGAAAGATGATCCAAAAATAAAAAATCCAGTACATAAGCGCCAAGCCCGCTCTACCTTGGGTAGAAAACATCACTTGAGAGCTTTGTTACAAGAATTGAATGATGATGGAGTATCATCAAATGAATTGTCACTGTCCAAGGAATCTGATGTCCAGTTGAATGAACCCCAGAAGAAAATTTTGCCATTACATAATCTCTATACCTCTATTGATAGTACAGGTGCTTTGACTTTCGAAGTCACTCATATGAGGAAAGTGTTGTCAGATAAAGGAGGAACACTCAAACAATCTGTTAAATTTCTTATTGGTTCTGTTGGATCTAAGAGCAATAAGGTCATTTATGTCAAAGAACTTTTGGGATTCCTATCTCAGCATTCAAACTTGTCAAAGTCAGTGTTGTGGACTCCAGCAACCACACATGTAGCTGCATTATACTCCGCAGCTGATGTTTATGTCATGAACTCTCAGGTGATCCATCTTCGTAGTCTTTTAGTAGTTTATGTGAACAGATAACTGCTCCTAAATTATACTTGTTATTATGGATTTTGATGTAGGAGTCCCATGTCATAACAGAATCAACCATTTGTGTTTGTATTGGTTGTTTGAATAAAAATATTTTGTGAGTCTTTAGTTTTTAATCTGTAACACAACTGAGACAGACACGTAACGATATGGTATCTTTGACAGTATTAAGTGAGAACACCGGATAGATTTCAGGTCTTTATAAATCATGTGAAAGTGAAACTACTGTCGATAAATGTTATGAAATGGTTGATTTTGATATCTATCTGGATATCATTTTGTTTTATTACAT